GAACAATAAGAAAATAATGCTTCCAGGAGTTTTAAGTTTTGTTGCAGCAGGAAAAATTGTAAAAGCTGTGCAATAATTTGGGCAAGGCAAGTGTATTTATATAGCACATTTCATTCAAGTGCTTTACATATGAAACATTATAATATTCATTAAACAAATGAATGAATTAAAACAGTTAAGAATAAAATACAGTTCACTCAGTTTGGACGTAGCACAGTACTCATTCAGTAAATGCACAGTTAAACAGATGTATTTTGGGTCTAGATTTAAATGTGGATAAGGTTTTAGCACATCTGATCTCTTCTGGAAGCTGGTTTCAGGTGCAGGTGGCATAATAGCTAAAAGCAAAAAGTGAACCCTTGGTATTTCTAACTGACTCTGAGTGGTTGGTTAGGCTTACAGGTGCCTTGGAAAAGTTCATTTATTTCAGTAATTCAACTCAAATTGTGAAACTCGTGTATTAAATTCAGTGCGCACAGACTGAAGTAGTTTAAGTCTTTGGTTCTTTTAATTGTGATGATTTTGGCTCACATTTAACAAAAACCCACCAATTCACTATCTCAACAAATTAGAATACTTCATAAGACCAATAAAAAAACATTTTTAGTGAATTGTTGGCCTTCTGGAAAGTATGTTCATTTACTGTACATGTACTCAATACTTGGTAGGGGCTCCTTTTGCTTTAATTACTGCCTCAATTCGGCGTGGCATGGAGGTGATCAGTTTGTGGCACTGCTGAGGTGGTATGGAAGCCCAGGTTTCTCTGACAGTGGCCTTCAGCCCAGCTTTCACATTGAGCAGCATTAACTACACAGAGCCGTTGTTCACTGACGAGCTGCGCAAAACCACTATCATATTCGCGCGATTTTTTGTGCAGCTCGTGAACAATGGCTCTGTGTAGTTAATGCTGCTCCATGTGAAAGCACGCACGTGATGGAGATTTACCGCTGATTACAGAACCGGCTTTACTGACAAGATGCGCATTAAATATCGCATGCGATTTATCGTGCAGCCCTACTTAAAATCAATCCTGAATGTAACTGGAAGCCAAAGATCCGAGGACTGGTGTGATATGCTCAATTGTTCTGGTTCTAGTCAGCAGCATTTGGTATGAGCTGCAGCTGTCTAATGGTCTTTTTGGGAAGGCCTTTTTGAGAAAGGAGTGCATTACAGTAGTCCACCCTTTTTGTGATAAAAACATGAATAAGTACCTTGACTTGACTGGAAACAAAACAAATAATTATTGCAATGTTTTTTAGATGATTTAGTTATTGCTTTGACATGACTACTAAAACTAAGACCTGACTGCAGAATCACGCCAAGATTTCTGATCTGATTTTTTTTAACCCCTAGAGCCAAGATATGCATTCACCTTGAGAACTTCATCTTTTCTTTTTGTTTTTTTTTTCAAATGCAATGACTTAACTTTTTTCTCTGTTTAACTGAAGACTGTTTCTCTGTTTAATTTCTTCATTGCCTTGGCAGAGGGAGTCAATGGGGCTGTAGTCATTTGGCCATAAGGTTAGGTAAACCTGGATATCATCTACATATCTGTGATAGGCAAATTGGTTCCTTCTCATTATTTGCCTTTGTGGGAGCATATGAAAAGTTCAGATGCAAAAGCCTCTAAGTGCCATTTGAAATTTTCTTCTAAAATGAGCATTTTTCTCAGGCTCCTTTGTGTAGGTTCAGTAATTTTTAGTGGTCGACCGATATATCGCCAAGGCCGCATATGGTTTTCTGTTTGGTCGATGCGTTCGAGGTGGGACTTTTTATTTTGACGGCGCTGAGAGCGGCAGTGCAGGAGCACACAGTGCTCACATTCTCCCTCTTGTTCGCCGTCATCCTTAAAGGGGTCCTATTATGTTCTTTTACAAAGTCTTGATTTTGTTTTGGGGGTGTACTAGAACAGGCTCTCATACTAGGTTGTTTGAAAAACACATTCTTTTTCACATATTTTACATTATCACAACACCTCTCTCCCCAGTCTGGCATAAACGGCTCGAATAGTTCCTGTATCAAATGAAGGACCGCCTTCTGAAATACGATTGGTTAGCTGGGCCAGTGTGTGCTGTGATTGGCAGCACTCAGCGCCTGGTCGGGAAATGTCATGCCCCTTACCATAGCCGTCTGCAAGCTTTAGTGTAAATATTGCATCAAAATCAAATCAATTTGAGCGAGATTTAAACCCGGATGATTGTCAAGTCAAGTCAAGTCACCTTTATTTATATAGCGCTTTTAACAATACAGATTGTGACAAAGCAACTAAACAGCATTAATTAGGAAAATAGTGCCAATAATGCAAAAGGACAATATTAAACACTCATTTT